AACTTTGTTTTCACCATAAAGCTTTATATTTCATTTGGAAATTTACTTTTTACTTTTGATGGCAAACCATATATTGATGTGAAGGGCAGGATTGCAATTGTAACTGGAAGCACAGTGATCAAATATATTTTTAAGGATAGTCCAACCACTTCCCAATGGAAACATGAACTTTCATGTACCCTGCAGACCGTCTATGATATCAATAAAATATCTACTGTGCGGGCAATTTATATCTGATATGGACTGTTGGTGCACCGTCTGTTGGTGCACAGTGCCAGCTATTCTGCCTTACTTTCACATTCACATCATGTTAATCTGATGAATTTAGAATGTACACCAACAGTTAAAAACAACTCTATTTTATTCTGAAAATGACGTACACCACATTAACAATATTGAGGACATTATTTATTCGGACTACGACATTCCCTTTGACTGTAGAATGTGCTTTTGAAATGATTATGTTGGATAGTGCAAACTGTGAAAACACATTTTTACACATTTTTGTCACTATGTTTATAAGACATTTTTAAAAATAATTGTAAGCATTGGTTGAAACTTGATGGAACTTTCGTAAGAATAACAGAGATTCATGTAGTTTGCATATTGTAAAATGTAAAACATATTTCTAATGAACTTTTTCGACTTATTTTCCCCCAAAAAAAATTCATTCAAAAATAATTACAAGCACTGAAAGGAATATTTTTGTTATATTTGTACGAAATTCACTTGATGTTATTCATACAGTTAGAATTTTGTATTATTCAGCGAGTTCCCAGCAATGCCTAAATATGCCTGTATTTGTTTATTATTTGAATTGTTTACTTTAACTGAACCGTACAGCACCTTCCTACCCTCAATACCTCTAGTTTACTATGACTGAGAGCCACTTCCTCCCCTCTATATATACCCCTAGTTTACTATGACTGACAGCCACTTCCTTCCCTCTATATATACCTCTAGTTTACTATGACTGGGAGCCACTTCCTACCCTCTATACATCTAGTTTACTATGACTGAGAGCCATTCCCTACCCTCTATACATACCCCTAGTTTACTATGACTGACAGCCACTTCCTACCCTCTATATATACACCTAGTTTACTATGACTGAGAGCCCCTTCCTACCCTCTATATATACCCCTAGTTTACTATGACTGAGAGCCATTTCCTACCCTCTATACATACCCCTAGTTTACTATGACTGAGAGCCACTTCCTACCCTCTATATATACCTCTAGTTTACTATTACTGAGAGCCACTTCCTACCCTCAATACCTCTAGTTTACTATTACTGAGAGCCACTTCCTACCCTCAATACCTCTCGTTTACTATGACTGAGAGCCACTTCCTCCCCTCAATACCTCTAGTTTACTATGACTGGGAGCCACTTCCTTCCCTCTATATATACCCCTAGTTTACTATGACTGAGAGCATTTCCTACCCTCTATATATACCCCTAGTTTACTATGACTGACAGCCACTTCCTTCCCTCTATATATACCCCTAGTTTACTATGACTGACAGCCACTTCCTTCCCTCTATATATACCTCTAGTTTATTATGACTGAGAGCCACTTCCTACCCTCAATACCTCTAGTTTACTATTACTGAGAGCCACTTCCTACCCTCTATATATACCCCTAGTTTACCATGACTGACAGCCACTTCCTACCCTCTATATATACACCTAGTTTACTATGACTGAGAGCCATTTCCTACCCTCTATATATACCCCTAGTTTACTATGACTGACAGCCACTTCCTACCCTCTAAATATACCCCGAGTTTACTATGACTGAGAGCCACTTCCTCCCCTCTATATATACCCCTAGTTTACTATGGCTGAGAGCCACTTCCAGCCCTCTATCTATACCTCTAGTTTACTATGACTGACAGACACTTCCTACCCGCTATATATACCCCTAGTTTACTATGACTGAAAGCCTACAGGAAACCATCACTAACACTTGACCTAATTAGAGCACTGCATGTAAGTAATGTCTCTCCATAGGACTATAGGAAGCAATTAAGGTGTACCAGTTAGACTTGTGTACTGTATCTCTAAACCTACAAATTGGTTATTACATAGTCATTAATGTTGGCTATAGACTTCAAACTATGGATGAGTATTAAGTAGACAATGCCAGAATAATTAGTGTGTGCTGCTCCTTTACATTGGTGTCTGGGTTCAAGATCAGGTATTTCTCCAGAGGTTCAATGGTCATAACCGTAAGATCAAACCTCAACAGTTCAATCCAGAGTACCTATAATTCCTAGATTTCATCACAGACAGTAAAATTCTGAGTTCCTCAGACTCAACTAAAACAATACCTTAGATAATCCCTAGTCTCTAAAACGTTGAACTATCCCTTATGACAATACCATCCACAGCGGATGACCAAATTCAGTATAATTGTTTAATTTCATAGAGTTAATTTTTTGATAAATTCAGTTAAAATGTATGGCCATTTATTGATTAATTAGATATGCTCACCACCAACAAACCCGACTTCAATTCAACAGGTGGATGATCATCAATCTTAGGTTTATTTTTTTAATTCTTTGTAAACAAATGTGAATGCTAGCTTTTTTTATTGACTATAAATTTGATTCACTTTCTGATCACATATGAAAATCAATTTATAACATAATAAATCCATATCAAGTCTGCACTTTTATCGTCCCTAACGTTTTAGTTATTTCATTTCAAAATAAATATATGTAGCCTGTGTATGAAATCCACATGCATGAAAACTGAAAACTCATTTATTTATAACACATCTGAACTTAAGCAACAGGTCAGCCTGTAGGTACGTCAGCAGGCGACACAAGGCTATGCGTGATTATATCCCTAACTTTGGTTGCCATAGAAACCGAATCGCAACTTCCTCTCGGCAACAACAAGGATATTTCTGTTCAATTGGCCCAGCTTTGTTTGTAATTATGTGGTATGTTCTGAAGCAATTACCTCCGACACTTGTTTATGCTGCAGGGACATTAATCCTTAAATCTTTCCTGAACATGATGACTTCTTTAGATCCATCAGCTAATGTATTTGTATATACAACAATTAGTACAATCGGACAGAATTGGACCGATCAGTTAAGTAAGCTATAAATCAAGGCAAATTACCAACAGATACTTCAAGAATTCACAAGATATTGATGCTTTTACAGAAACACATGGTGAATTCTAACCAAGGATTGAAACAAACTAAACATAAAACCCCACAAAGGAGATATTCTTGCACCCACCCCTTTTCCCATCAAATGTCTGATAGGTATTATAGTTATGAAATGTGAAGTCTTAATAAGTTTTGCTAAACACTCTACTTAAGTGCAGGAAAAACACTACAAAATCAGAGAAATCTTCAAAACAAATGCACCAACGGGAATCATCAAGTTAGGTAAAAGCACCATCTTCCATCTTTCTATGTAAGTATTAATTAAATTGAATGTCAGTCTCTGAATATCATTTAAGATATCAAAATCTAATATTGTGATAGGAGAACATAACAAAGGGACAAAGACAATGTATGCATGGTCAGCGACCTTTGACCTCCAACCACAGGTAGATTTAGTACCTTTAGTACGCATATTACTCTATATATATGCATGGTCAGTGCCCTTTGACCTCCAACCACAGGTAGATTTAGTACCTGTAGTAGGTATATTACTCTATGTATATGTATGGTCAAGCACTAGTACCCAAGTCCATAAAGCTAAGAGGTTTAACACTGTGTAGCTAAATGTTAATTTTATACAGATCACCATACCCTCAGTGGTCCAGACAGCTGGGAGAGGAGGGTTACATAGATCTATTATATATAATTATCATCCTTAGACATGCTTCTTCATTATATAGTTCTCTAATAACCTTAATGAGAGCCTGCTACATCATCATACCTGTTGTACCGGCTGTGTATGTGAGAGAATTACAACCCAATGAGTTTGACCATAATGCTCCATAATTATACTCCGACTGTTCCCTTTACAACTAATGACGATTTATTATAACCTGGCATGTTTTCTGTGGACACATATTATTGACTCGTCCCGGAGGAGGTCGTACAGACAAAGCCGAGGTACATGACAGGAATACAAACCAGTGACCCTACGGTCCAGAGATTGAACGACTATGCGAGGCAAATCACTAAACCCATGAAATTGTTATGATCCCCACACCACAACCAATCAAGGTAGACATGGAAAAACTGATCATAAAAATCAAGGGAGAATTGATTGAATCGGTTTCTATTGATGGTATACAGTTCTAACCTGATTGTTACTGAAGCACTATAACCGAGTGACCGTGAATAATAACCTTGTCACCACCTTTTATAAACATTAAGTAAAGTCTTAACAGACGTACAATGGTAACACATTCTGAATCAGACAGCAGGTTTATATGTTTATTTCATTGAGAATTTACAGCTTTTCAACAGCTTAAGTCATGTGACAATTGGCCAACAGCTAAGGTCATTTCACATCTAAGGTCATCTAACAGATGAAGTCATATGATATTACCTTAGGTCATACGACAACAGTTTAAGTCATGAAAACAGCTATGGTCATTTAACAACAACAGAGATATAGCAACGCAACACCTAAGTCATACGACAACAGCTAAGGTCATGCGACAATGGGTAAGTCATAAGACAACAGCTTAGATCATTTGACAAGGGCTAAGGTCATATGACAGCAGCTAATTTGATAAATTTAAGTCATTTAACAATGAACAGCTATGATCCGGTGACAACCAGAAAGTAAGGTCATATGACAAAATCAAATGTCATGTTATAGCTTATGACATATCAGCTAACTTCAACAGCAAAATTCTTACGGCATTTCATCTGAGGTCATCTGACTACAAATAAAACGACAACATCTAAGACGATATGACAATATCTAAGACGACATGACAACTGCTAAGGTCATATGACATCAGTAAAGGTAATATGGACATAAGGATTAGACAGTGACTCCTGTGTAACTTACATAGGGAGTCCACACTGTCCCCTGTTGAGCTGGCATTACTGGACCTCCTGTCTGCCTGCAGTAGCTGCTGTGTGATGCGTTTGTCTAGCTGTACACTGTGTCTCTTCCTCCCGGCCCTCATCTTAAAGGCCTCCTCCTCCCCCATAGTCATCACTTTCTCCGTCATGTCAAACCGTACCTGACTGTCTGAAGAGTGTTTGCTGTGCAGCTTTTTCGAGAGCATGATCAGTGGCGGAGAGTTTTTGCGGTTCTATGATCATTTAATACCAACTCACACTGCTACGGTTGTCAATAATCCCAGGACTCTGTGAGCTGTATCTATCTATGCCTTTCTCCTGCTGTATGTACACAGGTATAAACTTAATGAGTTTATAACTGTACGTCTGTATTGTACTATCCCCTGCGTGGAGTGTTAAACACTAGCCAGAGATTCTAGGTGTATTTTCACACACAAAATGTGTGTACAATATACATACAGCTACATGCATAAGACTATCACAGGACAAATCGTCTCAACACTTGATCCTGGTTTAATCACCTGAGCATGCTGCACGCGGTTACCTGTCCAGTCAGAACAATGATTGAAGACAATCCAATGTCACTCTAAAACAAATGAGAATTTTCAACCAAAAATCTCAGGTATTGAATCCAAGTAAACAATAGACAGGCATTGAGGTGATTCCAACTGAATTAAAGCTTGATCATCGCAGCAGCACCTACCTAGGATTATAATAACAGAAGTGGCTGCCTCCCTAATAAAGCTGGAGTTTCCCCCGGAGTGTCAAGTCTACAGAGTTACATGAAACATAAACATCCACACACAAAACCAGGACCGATGGTTACTGAGATGGAGATACCTCGTCTGTTGTGGGGAGACCTGAGGATGCCCTACTACCTTCTATATATAGTCCACCCCCTGGAAAAGGAACGTTAGGAAAGGTTATGTACTGACGTATGTAAGAGAACGGAAAACACAGGAACCACTTATACTGTGTTACACACCAGTGTCCAGAGGCCTGGGGAGGAAGGGGAATGTCGGTCACATGTCCCCTATCAGCAATTATACTGTGTTACACACCCGTGTCCAGGGGTGGGGAGGAGGGGGAATGTCGGTCACACGTCCCCTATCAGCAATTATACTGTGTTACACACCAGTGTCCAGAGGCCTGGGGAGGAGGGGGAATGTCGGTCACACTTCCCTAACAAGGTACGTCACACAGTACATGCTGTGTCATTATTGTCTGTTTTGTTTACAATGAAAAAGCAACTTTCCTAAACATTTGATAACATTTATTACTGAACAGCAGAACAGGATTGACATTCTTTGATAGCCAACAAGTGTTTAATATCATTTTTGTAACTGTTCAAACACTATTTGATTTTTGGAGAAAAACACAAACATGAACTGATGTTTAGCCTAAGATAAGCAGAGTATATATGAAAATGACTAAAAGTGAGAGTACATTAAACTTCCATGGTTAATTAGGGTATTTAATGTACATAAGTTTGTTGAATACACTGAACATGTTTTTATACACAAACACATTTAACCAACACAACAAACTTTGAGCATGCACAGCTCAGACAAGTGGCTCATTATGGAGAAATCTAATTAATCAAACACAAACCATGTATAATCAACTTTCATTTTCAGACTATACTGCTACTTATAAACATTATACATACAGTGCATGCTACTTTACACAATTAATATCTGTGAAAATATATACTACTGCTACTTTAAACCTGTGATTTAATTATGTTGAAGTTAAGGACATATGCTAGCTTATACATTACACCTGTGATTTGTAGTAAGATTTAAGGATATATGCTACTTGTGATTTGTTTCATTAAGTTGTCTCCCTTAGGGATACACATAATGGATGAAGACCACCCCTTATTCGGAAAGCTTATAAAATATCTTCTGAAAAACCTCATAACGAATAGGTAATATAACAAATAACAAATACAATTTCAGATTTAAGATGAATACATGAATAAAACTGTTTGCTAATTATTGTTAAGTTCTAAAATAGATTTCCTGAACATTACCAACACATGATAAAACAGTGAACCATTCAAATATGCAATTAATCAATAAACCAAATTATTTCAAATTACAATATATAAGATATATTTTACTAGTTCCTGAAAGTGGCACTCTTCTGGTTAGGAGATTGCTTTCAGAAGTAAAGGCTGCTTACGGCCTTAAGGAAAATTTGTTTTGACTTATTATGACCTATACTAATAGCCTCGTTAACACGACAATATATCTGTTATATACTGTTACAGTCTTACTGTTTACCTATTGTTGTAGCCCATAAACAATAAACAAATACCAAGTACCGTACATTTGTACTTCTGTAAGGAGATTTAAGAATTAACCAGTACAGCTTAGCATTAAAGTTCCACGGAGTTCAAATTACGTCAAGAAATTCATGTATTGTTATCTACCAAACACAAGATCAATCTACCGATAAATAAGATAAAGTAGGTACTGGTAATTAATTTATAACGGGCCCCATAATTACACAACAAATTACATAATATTATTCTGTTATAGGTATTTTATGACTTCTACACCATTACAAGTGGCCTATATTGCCCACAGCGTTTGAACATAATTAAAGTATCCCAATATAAACAGTCATTTTTTGTGGTAATCATAGTCTTTGAGATAATGAACACAAAAGTTTATGGTTCTTCATCCTAATTGAGAAAAAAATAAGATGTACCTGGAAGAAAAATCTTGTGTTACTGGGTTTTTTCTTTCTTTTTAGTTAGAAAGGTTCAGAACAAGAAAACCCATTTTGAAAAATTTGGTGGTTTTTCTACTTGTAGCCATCATTTGTACTCTTTGTTAACTCGTTCAACCTTACATATCCAAACTGGACTTGCCCAGCCATTGATTTGGTAAGTTTCAATGGGACTTTATAGGGGTGAATGGGTTAAATAAATATTTTGCTGTTTTCTGCAGGTCCTCATCAGACAGGCATTCAGTTGCTATGGAAGTCATTCAAAGGAGAGTTGTAGATGCTGGAGATGAAATCTTATACTTCTATGACAACCAACCATATGTGGCATGTGAAATGACTGTCAGCCCATGAATTCTAGAGAATTTTTAAGTGTAGCAATCCCTGTGTTGTTAGGCATTGGTTTAACCCTGTCATCTAAGGTGGGCATGATGGGGGAGGGGCTGGGGATGTAGATGGACCTTCTGTCAAAAATGTCAACAGGGTCTTAATATATTTGTTTCATTATTGATATCAGGGTAGGTAGTTGTTCTGTTGTTTTCTTTTTCAAAAAAAGTTCAACTTGCTTTGAAAGTTGCGCACAAAAACAACATTCCCATAGGTGACATTCCTTGTCACTGAGGAATCTCCCTGAAGCAATGAAGATGGGGATGAACTGATGTGAAGGGCACTTAAAATTAACGATCTCATTCCGAACAGCATATTTTGTATTATGAATTATATGATAACACATTGTTAACAGCCTATATATAACTCACTTGTTACATAGAACATGAATCCCCCAGCTTGTATACTTGTCTTACACAGGATTATTTCCCTAGAATTCAATATAACATCTTTAAAAGCCTAGTGACCAATACTGCTGACTTCCTTGTTTAAAAGTTTTATCTGCAATAACAACACCTAGTGCAGTAATATTTAAATAATTCAACAGCCACAATCAATAGAAAAGCCATCAATAATTAGTTCTTTTGAAAATGTCACTTTTTAGGGGTAAATATGTGCATTTTTGATACTAATGAAAACAATTATTCTCTCTCCAAAAAGAAGAAGCCAGTTTATCACACCATTACTTCCCCACACGCTGATCCCTATGTATACAGCTATTTTGACTAGAATGATGATGGTTAAGTGCCTTGCTCCAGGACAAATAATAGTGAAAGGTAACTGCTGCAAGAGAGGCACAGATCTAGAACATCTCACTACTAACTTGTACAGTTAGGTGGATTTGAGTAACTAGATTATATAAGCTTTCAGGTGTCAAATGCTGGTGTACACACCTGCCGTGTATTCTAGCTTACTGTTTTTTAAGTTAGTGGCTTGCAAAATTTCCAATCCAGAAGTATTTCTACATCATCATGTATAACAATCTGATATACTAGCATTCATTTGTGAGTTGCGATTGGTTTTCGCACCACAATGTCAGCAGGGGAAAATGTGATTGGTTTGTATGTGTGGTATTACACTAAACGCTGGACTTCAGCACACTGGTCAATTTGTGTCTGCTGTTTACGACACTGGAGATCAGACCAGTTTATTTCAGGTGACCCCTCTACTGGGGGTCCAAGCTCACCCGATTAATTTAAATGTAAAACAATACAACAAGCGGTTACTGATGGCTACATTAGACTTCATATACAAATTCATCAACATCAACAGACTTCTGAGATTACAGCTTAACACTTCTCCAACTTATCCAACTTATGCTTATTATTGAATCTATTTTTTGATATAGGGTTCAAAAAATAAAGCTCTTCAATAGTCAAGTTGCTTAAATTAGTAAAAAATAGTGAGTGAGAGATTCCTTGGGGTGGGCGTCGAACATGAAACAGTAGAAACTGACAATGACATCATTCACCAATATTGTGTGCCTCGTGTGCCCAGACAATGACATCATTCACCAATATTGTGTGCCTCATGTGCCCTGACAATGACATCATTCACCAATATTGTGTGCCTCATGTGCCCTGACAATGACATCATTCACCAATATTGTGTGCCTCATATGCCCAATTTATTATCAATTACTCAAGTCCAAAATTTATTTGAATGTCTACAGGACTATTTAACTGTCTGAGTTTTGTGATGAATCAATACACAAAAACTGAATCCTGTAAGTCAATTGCCACGAAGCTATACATTTTATTTATATTGAACCATCAATCTTGTATAATATACGATCAAAGCCTTTCATGTGAGAGAGCACTTTGAATTTAGATGTCGAATGCTCTTAAGAACCATAACATCTCCTAGGAGTAGAAACTTCCCTGTTGAATATTCATTGGAAACCATTAAGCAGTAGGTAAAATGTATTTTTAAAAGGTTGAGAACGGCACTGGGCGATATTTACATTTTACATACAGATATTCGAATAGCATTTGCGTGTAGGCCTACTCACATATCTATCTTTTACTATAGATTAAATTTTTTAACATGTTTTAGCAAGAAGAAACAAGATTTGTACATAAATCGGTCGTTACTGACCATGTCTCCACCACACATGTAAGTGTCCTGGGTAAAACCTATATGTAGATAAATCACTCACTGTCCACACTTTGTGATGTAAGACAATCCTGACAATGTGATCCTGACTTCAGAGAAAAAAAACTAACAGGGTCAGGTTGTTTTAAGTATGGTTAGCTTGCTGACGAATAAACTCATTCACCCTTACATATCAAAACTGGACTTGCCCAGACTTTGATTTGGTAAAATTCAAATGTGACTTTAGGGGTTAATGGGTTAATACATTAGCTTATTATCTGCAACACCTAGGTATTTGAGAGGTCTTGATATTTCAGGGTAAAAATAAACAAATTTAAAGTCATTTTATCCTGGTAAATTTCCAAAAATATTGAAAATATTTGCAGATCACCATATCAAAATATTTCATTATCTTACCATGATGATTTTGTCAATGTTTCTTCTTCAGGGAAATGCCATAAGCAATCATTAAGCTGTAAGACTATTGGGGCATAAAAAAGTTAAGGTTCTTTAAACAACAAATCAACTTTTAGGCCATTGAAATATGTTTGAACTTTATCGTTGAATATTTTATTTATTTATTTTTTAGAAATAAGGTTATTTATTTTTTTAGAGTATACCCATTATAAAATATGTATGCTTCAGGTATCTGATCATATGAAAAATCATACACGTCATATTTTTGTCTAAAGTTTCAGAATCATTTTGGGTTTTCTCAAGATAGGATTTTTCTTGTTAAGCTTATCATCATGAAATCTGATTGAACCAGCCGCTCTAGATTCAGGATAAAACAAAATCCTTCCAGTAAGATTTGACAGGTTGTTCAAATTTTATTTATCACAATGCAAATAAACACTAGTATCTAAAGCAATCATGATTTTGCCATGTCAGCATTTTCCGGTGTCTCAAACAAAATTAAATGTCTGTTCGTGACGTGTAATGATATATGACCTCCTTTCTATAGGAAATTGAA